AGCATGTGACAGGACATTGACCAAGTGTCCCCAAGCATCGCATACTGTAAGACGTCCCCCGGGTTTGGCAATCCAGAGGTCTCAGGTGCCCTCAGCACCAGGAAGGTCAAGAGAAGCGTGGCGTTGGAGGCCAGGACGTAGTGGGCAGAGGAATGAGCAGGAGCTAAGAAACTGGAAAGAACAGTATGACCTGTGACGTCACAAGGACTGCCCTCGGATAGGACAGGGACCACAGAGGGGTGAGAACAGTTTGTAGGTCAGAGAGCGAGGAGCTGAGGGAGACCAGACAGAACAGCCTTGATTGTCCCGAGGAACCGAGATGATGCCCCCCCCCACCCCCCCACCCCGGGACCACAGCCAGCCGTCCTCCTCCTCCGTGGCGGGCTGTGCGCCTGGGGGTCGCAGCAAGAGTTCAGTCTCTCATTTTGTTATTGCTGTTAGTCAGCTGGTGAATATTTACTGAGCATGAACAATGTCCAAGGCCTCGTGCAGGTAACTGAGGAAAATACAAGAATGACGTGACTGAGTCCTGCTCAGAGGCGCTCTGGGCCTTGGAGCCTGGGGAGTCGCTGCACCCCAGGGGAAGTCAGAAGCTGGGCTGGGTCAGGATGCTGAGCTGGTGCACACGAGCGTATTCATGCATTCAACAGACCCGCTGGGGGCTGTGACGTGCCCCGCACTGACCAGGTGCTAAGAATACATCAGAGAACAGAACAGACCACAACCCTGCTCCTGTGGCCCCTGCCACATTAGGGGAGACAGTCTATAGAGGTAACAGGTAAATAAGTTATATGCTGTATAAGAAGGTGGTGAGGGACCTGGGAGAACGGAGAACAGAGAAGGGGAATCGGCAGTGTGGGGTGGCAGAGAGGGCAGCATCCTTAAGCAGGGCAGGCCAAGGGAGGCCTCACTCAGAAGGTGGCACTTGAGCAGAGCCCTAAAGGAGATGAGGTTGCCATTTGAATATCTGGGAGAAGAGTGGTTTCAGCAGAGGGAACAGATTGTGCAAAGGCCCTGAGGCAGGAATATTTCATGAGGACGAGAGAGCAGTAGGAAGTAGTTGGAGAGGCAAGGGGGTGCAGAGGGAGAAGAGGAGTGGTGTGCAGATGGTGCAGGGCCTTCAAGGCCATTTGTCAAAACCTTGACTTTGAGAGGAGAGGGAAGCCACAGGAGGACTGAAGCAAAAGAGTGTGAAGCTTTAAAGTAACCACTCTGGCTGCTTGTGGAGAAAAGACTGTGGGTCAGGGAGGCTCTGGGGAGACCAGAGAGAAGGCCATTAGAGTCAGCCAAGTGAGAGATGATGGTGACTTGGACCAGGGTGGTGGCCCTGGGGAACAGCAGGGGAATTCTGGAGACTTTTGGAAGTCCGTGCCATGGGGTGGAGTTTCTGGGGCTTCCGTGCTCCATCGGCCCTGACTGAGTAGGTCACGGCAACCCTGAGTCCCCGGGATGAAAGGACCTCCGAGTCCGTGGTGGGTGAGGATGGAGGGAGGGGCGGGCATCCCACGCCAGGGCTGAGCAACAGGCCGAGCCCGTCAGCAGACTTGCCTCCCGCGTGGAGGCCCCTGCCGCAGGAGTGACCAGCCCATTCCCACGGGGCCCAGCTCGGCAGCCTCTGCCCTGTCTTCTTTCACACAAGCGCGCGCTGAAGAGCAAGGGCACGAGAGTGAGGCCTGCAGAGGTGAGGCCACCTGAAAAGCCAGGCTGGGAGCCAGAGAAGGACTCCGTGCCCGCCTCCCGGCCTACAGCAGCCCGTTCTTCTCCTGCTCTCCCCCTCTGACCCCTTCTTACCAAGATCGAGCACTGGGAGGGAGACGGGCAGAGTCTTTCTTCCGCATGCTCTCCCCCCTCCCTCCCCTGCACTTGGCACGGGCCTGGGGAGTCCCCACCCCCGTCTGGGTCTGGCCCGATGAGGTGGACGCAGCAGAGCAGGGAGGCCTGCCAAGAGCCGCTGTCTGTGGAGGATCGGGAGGGCACAGACTCCGTGCTAGAACCGGTTCCCATCCCAGTTCTGTTTCAAACTGGTTATGATGCCTTGTAAGGTTACTTCAGCCTCAGTTTCCTTATCTGAACAATGAGGATATCAATTTCTCTCATAGGATTGTTATAACAGACGTGATACATGCAAAATGCCTGGCCCAGAATAGGAGCACGTGACGGTCCTGTAAGTTGGTTCACTCAAAATCTATTCTCCAACATCTCCTTCTTGGCCTTCCTCTACTAGAGAAGAGAGAAGAGGAAATGATACTCAAGCTTCCAGCTCCCCTGTACTTAGGGGTGGCCACAAAACCCAGCTACGGCCAATGAGAGGAAGGTAGAAGTCCTTGACTTTTCCAAATCTAAAAGCAGAGCTTCTGAGCAGCAAGTCCTTACTCCTCTGTTCTTCCCTCATACCTTCTTGCCTGGAACTCAACTTGAGGGTAGAGGTAGAGCAGCCATCTTGTAGTCATGAGGTAACGAGCACAGATCAGAAGTGAAGAATGATGGGGTAGCAAGACAAAAAGTACTGAGTGCTTAATGACATCACTGAGCCACTATTTTAGCCCATGGCTACCTGCCCAGAAATTTATTGTTGTGTGAGACAACCGCCTTCCTGGTATGAGCCAATGTTTGTTGGGGTTTCTGCTATGTGAAGCAAATGCAATCAATAACAACAGCTATCATCACCATCATCATCCCCACCACCATCACCGCTATCATCACCATCTCTGCTCTCCTGCATCTGCAACAACCTCCAGCTCGCAGCTTTAGATTTTATTATCTAATTGGGAGCCAATTAAGACTTACTAAATGAACCTCTGAAGTGTCATTTCCCAGGGAGTATTCCAAGAAACATCGGTTCTTCCAGATATTAATAGATGTTCTGAGAAAAGAAAAAGCTGCCTGGTTAAGTGAACAAATGGTGGGACCTGGCAGAGATGGTTATCCCAGCGGTTTCCCGTTGGTATCCTCTCTGGGAGCTTTGCAAAGGATATGCCTAAAAGGGAACTTGCAAAGAATCCATGTCAGAGCCCCAACTACCGTAAATACTCTTTCCAAAAATCCCTATATCTGAGGACTCCTTGCTATGGTTCTCCTCTCTCCCGCCCTTCCACCACGTCCATCCTCCCTCCATACAAAAGAAAGGCGTGCTGCCCATTGGATCAGAAATCCCCCGGAGCGTTCCCGTGCAGGGTCGAAATGCCTGTGCTGCGAAGGACAATCCCAAACCTGGGGTTTCACTGGACTCTAATGACCAGGTCAGCCTTTTACAAGTCACGTGGTTGCCAATTCTTTGCTTTCAACAGAATTGAAGGATGTCCTCATTGAACGTCAGCTGATAGATCATTAAAAATATTTTTTGCAACAAATGACTATGTGATCTCTGTCTCATACCTCTGAAATAGCGTAGAATTGAGTGGCAATGCTGTTAAACCCATGCTCACCTACTTGTTTATGCGAGCACAGTCTCTCAGTGGCTATGTCTGTAAAAGTAGTAAATAGGAATGGAACGGATGCTGCACCCTGCCTCATGCTAGCAGTAAATGACTCACCCGTGGATGCAGGAAACTACTGAGAAAAAGAGCTACTTAGCTTATGAATGGGTGCAATTCCAACAAAAACTTACTCTTTGTGTTTAATAATTATGCATCAAAGTTTGTAATATTTGTCTGTTGCTGTAACTAATTCTGTGCTAATGAAAACTAAATGCAGAAGAAAAAATTTTTAAATGTTTTGCAACTTACATTTGTGTGTGCGTGTGTGGTGTGCATGTGTGTGTGTGTGCGCAGGCAGAGAAGAGGTAGAGAAGTACGGTCGAGTGACCAAGAAAAGACTTTCAAGCATTAAAACATTTTGGGGGTCCGGCCCAGTGGCATAGAGGTTAAGTTCGTGCACTCTGTTTCAGCGGCTCGGGGTTCACTGGTTTAGATCCCGGGTGTGGACCTACCCACTGCTTGTCAAGCCATGCTGTGGCAAGTGTCCTACATATAAAATAGAGGAAGATGGGCACTGATGTTAGCTCAGGGCCAGTCTTCCTCGGGAAAAAAAAAATTCTTTTGGAATACAATTCTGTTGGAGAAGTGGAATGGAGAGAAAAATGGTGAAAATGTTTGTTAAAGAAAAGACCTCATATGCTTTTTAACTAGATGGTGATGTATATCAACTCGTGGTGGTTGACATCAATTTGCTGTGGCATTTAGGAACTATTTAAGAGAAAAATGTAAGAGCTTCATTTTTAAATGTATACTCTATCAGAAATCACATCCTTTGCAACTATCAAAACTTATCATAAAACTTTTTAGATGTTTACTTTAAAAATGGATGAGGGATATATAGTTTTCAAAATTTCTGGAGGAGCATGCAGGCAGTTTGCAGATCAATGCCTGAGAGGGTCTCCTTTCGTGAATAGATAAAAGCGCCAAGTAATTGAGAACGATATTGTGGAAACAGTGCTTCTATAATCACTCGTTCTTCTTAAAAAGGCTCATTACAATCTCTGCCTTGCCTACCACACATGCATCCGGAAAACCTTCGCACGTAGATAAGGGGAGGCAGACTTTACCTCCTGGCTCTCTCCCACTTAATCACAAAAGACGGGTGTTTGGAGTCCAAAGTTATTAATCTATTAATAAGATTTCCTCTAAACCGGGAACAAGAAGATAATACAGTCCACAATCAAGTAGCTTAAAAGAGAAATACATTTAGAGAACAGAATACAAAAAAAAGGTAAGACTCATAACAAAAAGCAAATTAAACACTTGCTTTTAAATATTCATTATGATTAGGGGCCGGGCCCATGGCCCAGTGGTTAGAGTTTGGCGCGCTCCACTTGGGCGGCCAGGGTTTGAGGGTTCGTATCCCTGATGCCGGCTTACTCTACTTATCAGCCCTGCTGTGACGGCATCCCACATACAAAGTGGAGGATGGCATGGATGTTAGCTCAGGGCTAATCTTCCTCAAGCAAAAAAAAAAAAAAAAAATAGAGGAGGATTGGCAATAGTGTTAGCTCTGGGCAAATCTTCCTCACAAAATACATATATATACATAGAGAGAGAAATTATGATTAAATATCAGTGTGGGAGGAGTAGGGGAAAAAGGCAGTGCAGAAGGGCAACAGTTAAATGTCCTGGCCCGGCTGTCTTTGGTAGAATGTATTGTCTACTCCTACGGGACACATATGTTGGGACCCAGCATTTCTAGAAAGAGATGGAAAAGGCAAACAAAGCAATCAATCAAGAATAATGAAGAGCCAATTTTACTGAATGATCTGGATACACTTTAAAGTGGCACATTTAGTAAATGATTTATGTTTCTCTCTAAAGGTAACAGGAAGTCAAGTGGTAACCTGAGGAATGTTCTAGAGAGAGTCAAACTCCCCAGAAGGAGGGAATTACTTAGGGTCTATTAAGAATGCATCAAAACATTTTTTTTGAAGGGATTATTTACTTTTTAAATTATTTATCTTTGGTGATCAAAATTCCTGCTCAGATTTCTTCCACTATGTAAAAGGAAAAATGGGATAAAAGTCAAGAAAATAAAACTTCAGGTTAATATGGCATCCCCACTATTGTAAGATGATCAGATTGTAGCTTGAATGAATCCTAATAACTAAAGACAACTTTGGGTTAATAATAATAGATGTTATTAATAATAACCCTATTTATTGGTTAATAGTTAATACTGATGACTGAGTAAATTATTCAGTCTTACACCTAATTTTCAAGCTTCATTTAAGCCAGAACCCTGACACCTCCCCTGGTAGAGCTGGCAAAATGATCTAAAGACAAAGGCGACATGGGAACGTCCTGCCTGAGTCACAGTGGGGATTCTTGAGGTCCAAAAAGGAGCCGAGTGAACACAGCAGGAGAGCGGATTTCCCAGTGCCCCCAAGAGAGAACAGAGGGCCTGCTTTTAAGAAAACAAAGCAGTTCTCTCCATCCTAGTCCACGCTGACGTCATCTCTCAAGGGTTGGTTACTCTGGTATGAAGAACAAGGCTCTTCCCCCCCAATTTGCCCCTCCTCCTGCATTGCCTCCTCATCGTGAGTCCACAACCTGCACACCTGCACATGGCAGCCCTGAGTCACGCTTCACCCATATGCCTAAGCTAGAAACTTGGGGATCAATCGTGATTTCCTCTACTTCTTCCCTCATCCACTTCTCCCTCCCAACAGCTACTCCCTAGCCCCAAGCTGCTCCTGGGAGTAAGAGTGTTTGTCTCCTAGCAAAGAGCTTAATAAACGTGTGGAATAAATAACCTGATTTGATATAATCTATGATTGACCTCTTTCCTCAAGGAGTGCTCTGCCAAGAATGAGGAGATGGATACAAAAACTCCTTGTCCTTTAGGCTTTTCAGGTGCCACCTCCTCCAGGAAGCCTTCCACGTCCTCTCCCACCAATCAGACTGGGGTATGTGACCCTCCTCTGATCTCCCAGAACACCCTGTGCTTACCTCTACCAAAGAACTGACAATTCTGTCTTGCAACAGTTGTTTACTTGCCTGAGGCTCCTTCTAGTTGGGAACTTTTATTCCTGGAGCCCCACTGCCTAGCAGGGTATCCGGTGCAAAGCACAAAGACAATGAATGTGGTTGAATGAATGAATGCCCCAAGGAATTAGTGCCATAAGAGACCACAAAGTGGCCCTATGGGGAGACACACAAAGGAGCAGTGAGTTCTGTTATTGAGGGAGTGACAGTGACAAACGTCTTTCTAAGTGGTCTTGAAAGATGAGTTAGAGTTTCCTTAGAGATCAAGGCAAGGAAGGGTATTACTAGCAGAAGGAATAGAGGCACAGAAGCACATGGGCAAGAAAGCACATGAAGTATCTCAAACAACGGCAGCCTGGCAAGGCTCGAACACAGCATTGAGTGGGAGGAAACGGGGCAGATGTGTCTGGAAAGGGTGTGTCGGACCGGTTGTGAAAGACCTGGCAGGGGTTTGAAGACCGTGGAGCAGAAAGTCACTGAAGTTTGAAAGCAGAGTAATAACATGATCAGATCTTCAAAAGAAAAAAAAAAGATCTTCTTTCCTTTTCGGTAACTAAAAGCCGTAGTTCCGCCTTCCTCCATTTTTTACATTTCTTGATAGTTCATGAGAATAAAACAACAAAGGCCAGCGGAAGCCGTTCTTCTCTCCCTGCCTGGTCTGAACCGGGCGTGTTTTTTTTCTTCCCCTTGTTTCCTGGCCAGCCGTCGGGTGAAGCGAGTGCATCATACAGCTGGGAAAACACGAGCTTCTCCGGTTTGTTTGGCTCCGGAGCTATGTGGGTGAGCGCGAGTCTGGGCAGTGTGTCAGCTTCTTCCTGAAAGTCCGGGTCAAGGAAGACCACGACACGACTTTGTTTACTTGATTTTGCTTTCAGTGTCGAGAACGCTGGTTCCGATGACTGCAAAGGTGTATGCGGTCGCTGCTGGCTCACAGGCCTGTAATTCCTTTGGAAAAAAAGATCTGATTGGGACAACTGGGACCTTATTTTAATACCTCAGTTCCTTTTGAAACACCAGATGAAAAGTGATGCGTTATTTTCCCAGTGGCTTTTGTTCCTGGCTAACCAGACTGGTTTGTTGGATCCTTGGGAGTCATTCTGCGGGACTGGGTTTGCTGGGCTGGCAGATTTGGAGGGGTCGACAAAGAGTGACCCGTCTGAAGCAACTCCTCTGGCTCAGACACTTGAAGTTACACTTAATCATCAAATGTTTACCGAGGGCCTGCTGTGTGCCAGGCCCTGTACTAAGCACGGGGACACTGCGAGGAACGACACAGTTCCAGCAGAGCCCGGTAACTAGGCTAAAACTCATCAAAAGCAAAAGCCAACTCTTGCTTCTCTTTCCATCTCCCCAAGTGCCTAGTGCCGTGTCTAACTCCAGGCAGAGCCGCAACAAAAACCGAACGTCTGAACAAACAGCTATACTCCAATTTCACCCTACACGTGTTTACCATGCACCTGCTATGGCCCATATTGCCTCAGGTAGTAGAGAGACGGAGAAGAGAAAGGTCGGCTCACACCGCCACCTGCTCCCAGGCTGGTGGGGAAGACGGGAGCTAAAACAACTGTTCAGCCTGTACAAATCTGAGCCTCAAGGAGCCCCAGAGCCCCTAAAGATCTTCTTGCCCCAAGGTCCCTCCTCTGGCACCGCAGACCCCTCTACAAAAGGGGTGATGGCTGGCACAGAAGAGAGAGTCCAGGATGCTGCCCCAGCACTGGATCCACTCTGATCAGTTGATGCTTTTGCCTCTTCTGTTGAAGATATTTTACCATCATTCCACAGATAATAATAGAGGCACGAGCCGTTCATACACGGGGATGAGAGGAGGGAACGACTTCAGGACGTGAGAAGGGTGCCGGCTTCCATCTGGAAAGGGAGCGTGTAACTTCCTGCAAAACCCAGTACAGCAGGTGACGTTTTGTTTCTAGGAGTCTATTCAGAACCCCTGCCCCATGAGCACAAGCAGGGGACCCCAGCTCAAGGAGCTGCCCACTCCAGATGCAAGGGCACACCATTACCTCCTGTCAACACTGTGGAGTCCAGAGGCAGAAAGTCATTTTAGAATGGAACTATAAAACATTTTAATTTTTGAAGTTACTTTAAATATCGTTTTTATTTCTTCCTGTTCTGGACCAACTATTATCCACAAGCCTAGTTTTGTAGCCATCTTGGTTCAAGTAATCTTGTTACCTGCTAATCATTAGCCTCACTCACGGGCAGTGGAGAGAGAGGGCCTCCCGAGAAGCAGTGTAAGAATCTTGAGCACTAATCCTCTGGGAGGGGGATGAGGGGGCTTCCGTTGCCTTTCCATCCCTTGCAAAGCTGACGCTGAGAGCCTAGAAATATGGATCCTTCAACATTCTGAGGAACTGAAAGAAGGAGATAGAGAGGGAGAGAGGGAGAAAGGAAGGAAAGAAGAAAACAAGGAGACAGGGAGGGAGGAAAACAATCAACCAAACAAAAAACACAGGATGTTTCCTAAACCTCTCCTCAGATTGTCAAGATATAGATTCAAAAAGTCCTAAAGCTGGGAGGGCCAATTTCCCACCTGTGAAAGCAGCAAACATCGCCTGAGCCAGTTCTTCAATGGGAACCACAATTATTCCATGGAAACATGTCAACAGTTCTCTGCTCAAGTCTACGAACAGAAACAGTGAAGCAAATTACACTTGTCCGTACTCTCCAGATAATTGAATTTGGCTTCTTAAAATTCAGGTGTCAGCCTGTTGAGAAGAACAGGGTAGCTCCTTTATTAACTTTTGTTTTCACCTCCTTTCACTCAAAGCAGGATTTCGTAATATTATTTTAAAATAAATTACTGGCAGAAGACTAGACTAGTGTCTAGTCACGTCTCCAGCCTCATCTTTCCTCTCCTCTTGCTTTCCCCACAGACTACGGTGCTCCGTTCCTACACGGACACCACACCATCGCGCCTCCAGGCATGACCCATGGCCCCTCTCCAGGGCCCCCCCCAACTTTTCCTGGAAGCGGGGTCTTCTCCAGGATGAGCTTCCTCAGCTCCCTTCCTTCTGCTGCATAAGGAGCCCTTCCTTTGTGCTCCTATCGCACGCTCAGGGCATCTCCATCTGCACACTTAGCACCTTGCATTGTAAGGACCATGTCTATGTGTGCGCCTGTCTTCCCCTCCCCCCGACACAGTGACTAGGCCTCACTCATTTTTCACCTTCTTGAGGCCTCACCCACCTCCTGGAAATAGTAGGTGCTTGCATCAGCTATCTATTGCTGCATAACAAATGACCTGCTCAAAATCTGGCAGCTTAAAGCAGCAGTTATTATCCCACAGTCTCTGTGGGTCAGGAAGTCAGGTGCAGGGGTGGCTCGGTTGGTGGCTGTGGCTCAGGTCTCTCACAAGGCAGTGACCCAGGGGTCGCCAGGCCACCACCATCTCGAGGGCCAAGTGCAGGAGGGTTCGCTTCCCAGCTCACTCCTGAGGCTCTTGGCCTTAGAAAATCGACTTCCAAGCTCGATCACTTGGCTGTCAGAAGGCTCTAGGCCTTACCGGCTGTCAACTGAAGATACTTCCTCATCCTATGAGGCTCTCCACAATTACTCACAGCACGGCAGCTGGATTCTGCCAGAGGAAGGGCCCAGAGAGAGCGAGAGAGACAGAGACAGAGACAGAGAGAGGGAGGGAGGGAGAGACGGAGCATACGAGCAAGACGGGAGTCACGGCCATCATGTACCGTCATCTCAGATGTGACCTCCATCACTTTCGCGGGGTTCCATTTGTTAGAAGCAAGTCACCAGGTGCAGCCTCCTCTCAAGGGGAGGGGACACATGAGGACGTGAACACCAGGACGGGCATCACTGGGGCCATTGCAGAGGCTGCTGCCAGCGCTCAGTAAACAGACTGAATGAACAGATGACTCTCTCTGGTCAGAGTGAAGCTCTCCTTCCAAGAAGATCCACAGCTTTGGAACCCCTATCGGGGGACAGAGCATGGTGTGACTTTCAGTGAGCATATGTTCACACAGGCACCTGCATAGAAGCAGTACCAAATACACAACTGGCACCCAATAGCTAATTGTCGCCTGGGTGAAGAAATGAAAGAACGGTTGACAGAGGCTAGCATGTGTCCATCACTATTTGTTCTGCAATAAAGGACCTGTGTCTTTTAGCTAGGCCCATGGGCATGCCACTGGAGACTGCATTTCCCAACATCCCTTACAGCCAGAGGTGGCCATGCTCCCAAGTTTTGGCTACTGGGATGTGAGGGTAACCCTGGTGAGCACTCGCCTTTCTCTCTTCCCCGACCTGGGATACTGAGGTTTGGGTGGGACCGAAAGCAGGAACATACACAGTGAATGTGGGAGGACCACGCCAGCAGACTATCCGTCTCTGGACTAGGACCTGAAGGAGAACTCAACTTCTGTCTTGTAAAAGCTCCTGCCCTGTAGGGTCTTGTTGTTGCATCAGCGTAGAGTATACCCATCTGACACAGGATGGAAAAGCAAGCAGGAAACACGACTCCACCACCCCTCCCAACCCCAGGGCGAGCCCCACGCTTGAAACACGCTGCAGGGGCCCCTTAAATGTCTGTAGGGTGACACTGTGCCTGTGGACCTGTTGGGCTGTGTTGGTAGAGAAGAAAGCAGAGTTTAAGTCCCCACTTTCCTCCTGGTCAGGCAACTGCAGGCGTCTTGGGTTAACTCAGAAAACTCAGAGCTCTGAGGCTGCTCAGGGAAGCAGCCACCGCAGCACGGAGTGGCCTTAACTTTCCAAGGTCCAAGGCAGAAAGCCACCACAGAGAGCCATAAGTCAGACGGATTCTTCTCGAGGAAAACCTGTCCGGATTGCGGTTTCCCCACAGGAGGTTGATTTGTTTTCCCAAAAAGGAGAAGAGTTCTCAGCTCGGTCCCTGCGAAGGGCCACGCCAGCAGCCTCTCCAAACCCTTGCGGCCGTCAAGGGCAGGCGTCCCGTGGGGCGGCAGAGGTCACCGAGAGCCAGCAGCTGTCCACGCCTGGAGGAGCCACGCCTCTGCCTCAGTCTGGAACTGGACAGCATCCATGGCCTAAAACTGAATGTTTTTATTCCGTTTCTGTTCTTTTACAGTATACGGCTAGATGGCTCCAACCGACCCCACCCTCCAGTGCCAGAATCAAACGCTCACCCAGCCAGATGGTGTGTGCTGAGGCTAGCTCAAGGAGATGACAAAACCTTGTTAAAACACAGGAAGGGGACCGGAAGGAAGTGGGATAAGTCTGTCTTGCTTGGATTGAAAATCTGTTAATAGGATAGACACATGCCAAGTAGACAGCAATTTGAAGATATTTCTTTCTCACAGGAAGGCAAATTTGAGAAACGAGGAGAGAAAGAAGGGGTGAGGGAGTCCAGGCTGAAGTCTACAGGCTCATTTCTCTTGGAAGGCGGGGAAGTTTTAAAACTCCTACTATTCCCTGGCCTTCAAGCATTCAAGGTACTGAAGAAGATAGCCGTGTCCTTTAGCAACGACGGTTCAAATGGAAATGTTCTCAGGCTGTTGGTATAAGAGGAGGGAGAGAGCAAGTCTCACAGAAGGGATGGCGTTCTGGAAGGGACTGGAGGAACTCCCCCTTGAAGGATGAGGGAGATTTTCCAGGTGGTCACAGGCAGAGAGGGAGGGCATGGCAGGCAGGGAGTGGCACGAGCCACACTCCGGGGCTCTGAGAGCACACGTAGTTCTCGTGTGTGTTTCTGGAATTCCCAGTGACCTAGGAAGGTGGAGTCACAGGGACGTGAGTCAGGTCTTTGACAGGAAAGAGTAGAGATGACTTCCATTAATACTATGGAGAAAATAGTACACAAGAGATGGAAGGAGATGGGGAAGTGTTAACGGAGCAGAGAGAACAGAGGCAGATCTGGCCCTGTGGAAGCCAGCTGTAACCGCAGCACGGGGTCAGCAACACGGCTGTGTAACTTGGTGGCTTAAGTCGCAGGCTCCTGAGTCAGCCCCCGCCTCAGTGTCCCACGGCTGCCGTAACAAAGTCCCACAAACTGAGAAGTCTGAGATCCAAGTGTCGGCGGGGTTGGTTCCTCCTGAGGGCTGTGGGAGAGAATCTGCTCCCTGCCTCTCCCCTAGCTTCTGGGCGTTTGCTGACCATCTTCGGGGCTCCTCGGCCTGTAGGAGCAGCACCCCGCTCTCTGCCTTCATCTTCGCACGGCAGTCTCCCTGTGTCCGTGTCTGTGTCCAAACTCCCCCCCTTTCATAAGGACATAGTCCTAGTGGGTTGGGCCCCTCCTAACGCCCTCATTTTAACTTGATTCCCTCTGTGGAGACTCCGTCTCCAAATAAGGTCACATCACTCCAAATTAGGACGTCAACATCTTTTTGGTGGGCACCGTTCCACCCATTGCAGCCATCTCGGTTTGAATCCCAACGTGGCCACGCACCAGACTCCTTGGTCTTGCAAAAACTGCTTAACGTCTCTTAGCCCAGTAACGTGCCTAAAACAGAATGAAGAGCACCCTTGGTACAAGCATCAGTACCCAGGAGGGGCCTAATAAGTGTCGGTGGTCACTCTTGGATGCACAGAGGACCGCGTATGGAAGTCAAGCCCTGGCGTCATTCTAATTCAGGGACGCAGGCAGAGGGCCCACTGACGGGCCATCAATCATTTCACTCATCTCCTTCCCGCACCCCTACCGCCGGTGCCTAGACTCTTAGAGCCTCAGGAAAGTTTTCTGCAGATTACAACTCTGTAACTCAACTTAATTTCAATTTTGAGCCACATAGCGCCAGGGTGACAGAAACAGAAACTGTCAGTTTGGGGTTTCCCTCTCTGTCTTCCTGGGATTGTGGCTCAATCTCAATGAACCATCCTGTGCCAGGACGCGGAGCAGAGGCACGGGGGCTGGGTCTTATTTCTCAGTCTGCCAGGCTTCTGTGAGGACCCCACGTCCTGGTTGGTCCTGGGGCAACAGTCCTGTTCTCATCTGAAGGCCACCTCGCCACCCCGAGGTCTGGAGGGGCTCTCTGCCATCACCATGCCAGGCACAGTTTCCTGCTGTTCCTCCGTGCCAGCCTGGAACACACTAGTCTCTGTGAGCCTCTCTGAGGCTTCATCTCTGCAGTTACGCTCTCGGGGGCCTCCCTGTTTCCCCCAGGGCCCTACCCGACAACCACCCCTGCTCCTGGGCTCCCCAAAGTGTTCTGAGGACCTGTGGCCCCCGGAGCCCCTCCTTCGGAGACCACCCCACCTCTGCTCTCATGAACTTCACCCTCGGCTGCCCCAGACCCCGCTGGGTTGGGGGAATCCTATCTCTCTCTCTCCTGTATGTTCCCCAGACATTTGAAGATACCCCAACCCTTTCCGTTCCCTTAAAGCCTCGGGTTTTGGAAAGCAAAGCCAGGAAGAGACCTGTGGGCTCTCCGTGCCTTCCTCCCTGGGCCCCCCGCACTCCTGCCCCCCGGGGCATGGAGAGTCTATTGCCTTAAGTGGGAATACCAGGAAAGGAAAAAAAATAAATAAGTTAATATTTAAAAGTTATTATCCCAGCTTGTTTCGGTGAATAAATAAATGAATGCGTGGCCCTGGCCCAGGGCGCTCGGGGGAGATCCTGAGCCCACTTCACAAAAACCTCTCCCCCGAGGGAGGTTCCACTCGCACGGCCGTTCCCAGCAGGAGGGCCCAGAGCCCACCCCATTCCCGCCCAGAAGGCCCGCTGGCGGCCGCCCCCCCGCCCTACGTGGCACCCCACGTTTCTGCCCCTGGGTGCCCAAGTGTGGCGGTGGTTCTAACAAGCACTTAGTCCTGCCACCTGGTATTATTTCAGTTAATATTTTACACGGCTGACCTCCTTACTCCCTGGAACCAGTTCTTACTCAACCTGTGCAGCAAAGAGAAAGCTCTGCCGCTTATACCAGGTGACCTTGGACGACTTACCCAGCCTCGCTTCCCTCATGGGAGAAACGGCAGAAAGAACACCCACCCATCGGGCTGTGAGGGTTGAGTAACGTAACCTAAACAAAGGTTGGAGCCCTTGGCCTCAGTGCAGCCGCACTTGAAGAACTGCCCTTGTGGCTGGCTCGGTGGGCCCACCTGTGCCTCACTGTGCAGAGAGGGAGAGGCAGGCATGCCACCAATGTCACCACGCAGAAGGGACCCTGCACCCACCAGAAGGGCGATCTCTAAAACCCCTTCGTGCCTTAAACCATCACGATCAAGATTGGTGTTGACCTACTCAATAACTAAGCTCTTATGAAACATCACTAGGAGCCTGGCATTCTCATACACCTGAAAAAGAGCTCCCCAGGGACACAGACGGGGACGGAATAATAATGAAATAGGCTAAAATAACTGGGTTTAAACTGCTATGGGATCATGGAGGGAAATCATTTGTGTGCTTGTGGTCATTCATTTATTCATACCACCTTCACAGTGCCCTGTGTTTCCAGAAAGGATTGAAAGAGGCCTGGGAGAAATAAGGACCTTTCCCCAAGAGGTCACTGTGAGCTTGGCACCGAAGGCGGTTAACAGGCAGAACAGTGAGGACAGAGATTCTCCAGGCCCAGGAAGCAGCCCGTGCAGGGGCCTGGCCGTGTGGACATGGCAGACCCACAATGCTCTTCTCCCTGTCCATCAGTGGTGCGCTCGAGCCAGCCAGGAGCAGCTCACGAGAGCTGATGGCTAAATTGTCGGGAAATTTGCAAGCCAGTTAGTAGATACAGTCATTAATAAAAATTAAATTATGCAAACTTATAATTAAATAATTGTAATAGAAACCAAGGTTAAAAATATCCAAACTCATCACTTCTTAACTATTTTACATTTTCCTACTATCTGTGCTGGAGGTCACTTACACCTGCTGTACCTGTATGGTCGAGATATATGCATCATATTGTGCCACTGAGCACGTCTTCCCAATTTCGTGTTTAACGATGGCACGTTCATAGCTTGCAATCTGCCGTGGCAGGAATATTTACACCACCGAAACTGGCCGTTGCTACAAATCAGGACATTTTTTTCTCCCCGGAAAGCTAGTTATTCACATTTGCCAGCACACTGCTGCTAGCTGCCCTGTTTAAAGTCACCTTCCCACTTCCGGTCCCACTTACTCTGATTACTTTCTCCACAGGATGTAGTACGTTCTAAGAGGTTGCACCGTCTGTTCGGTATCATTATTTTCTGTCTCACCACATCAGAATGTTGGCCCCATCAGGGAAGGACTTTTTCCTGTGATGTCCTTCAGGTATTCCCACACCCAGGAGAGTGCCTGGCAGCCAGCTGGCACTCATGAGTCTGTACTGGTGAACGCCGGCCTCTGCACGTCCCTCCCCAGCCCTGCGCTCGCCCAGCGGCGTCTCCCTGACCCGTAGGCTGACCTGGCTCGAGGCCACCCTCCCTCTCCCCGTCTGTGTCCCTGCAGGAGCCCCGCTGCCTACAGCCCGGGGGAGGTCTTGTGTAAATGTGCACCTACGGCCCACGACTGGGCATTTCTCTGGTCACAGGTCACAGGTCTCAGGTCTCTTAATGACCCTGAGACCAGTGCCTTGAGACCTGGAAGGCAGCAGTTCCCAAGTGGCCCCAGACGGCAGCACCAGCAGCACCTTGTTAAAATGCAAGCGCTCGGGCCCCACCCCAGACACCCTGAGTCAGAAACTCTGCGAGTGAGGCTGTCTTCGTCCATCCAGGCTGCTGTAACAAAACAGTGCAGACCACGTGGCTCACCAACAGCAGATGCATACCGCTCACGGTCTCGGAGGCTGGAAGTCTGAGATCAGGGCGCCAGCTCTGTGGTGAGAGGGCCCTCTTCCAGGTGGCAGACTTCTCATTGCCTCCTTGAGTGGAGGAAGGGGTGAGGGAGCTCCCTGGGGGCCGTTTTATGAGACCAGTAACCCCATTTGTGAGGGTCTGACCTGGGTCTCAAAGGCCCCACCTCCTAGTACTGTCACCCGGGAGTTAGGTTTCAACGTGAGCGTTTGGGGGACCCATTCAGATCCCCGCAGAGGCCCAGAAATCTGTGTTTCTGAGATTCCTGTGTACAGTAAAGTTTGAGGGCCACGGGTCTGAGCCTTAGAATTGTTCTAAGGTGGTGGCTCTCGAACGGGGCTGTTCGTCTGTGTCACTGCTCCCCCCCACCCCTAGGAGGCACTAGGCAGTGTCTGGGGACACTGTGGGTCACCACAGCTCCAAGGGGTTGGTGCTACTGGCATCTCGTGGGTAGGGGCCAGGGAGGGTGCCCACAATCCTACAACGCACAGGACAGTTCCCCCATAACAATGTCAGTGGTGCCGCCCGTGCCATCCTCACTCCCACACACCCCTCCAGCCCTCCTTCCCTCCTTTCCTGTAACCCGTGCTCCGCACCCAGCAGCTGATAACAACCGATCCTCCACCCTAGGAGCCTGGGGCCCTGCCCCGCATAGGATTCTCTGCACAAGGATACAGATACTTCAGCCGACCTTTGCCACCCAGTGTGTTCTGTTACGTTTAGAGAAATATCCCGGAGGTGCTCCCAACCCAAGCTTGGAAGATCAGGGAGGACTTCCTGGAGGAAGTGGCCTCTGTGCTCAGACTTGAAGGTGGAGCTACAACGAATCAGGCGGCAGGTGGACAGGGGATGGCTTTCCTTATGCAGCACTTCCTGCCTTTCAGTCACTGTGCTGTGTTTTACTGTCACTGTCTCATTCAACCCTAGACCCTCCGAAGCTGATACTACTGTTATCTCCATTTTACAGATGGGGACACTGAAGCCCAGAGACACTAAATAACTTGCCTAAAGCCACACAGCTAGCAAATGCTGACGCCGGGATTTGCATCCAGGTCTGCAGATTGCAAAGCCTGACAGGAGGTGACTGCTAACTGTTTACAGAGGGCAAAGCGGGTAGACTGGGGACTTCTTCTAAAACACAGTTGACCCTTGTGCTATGGGCTGAATTGTGCCCCCCGCCCCATTGGTATGTTGAAGTCCCAACCTTCAGGACCTCAGAATGTGACTATATTTGGAGGTGAGGTCTTTAAAGAGGTGATGAAGTTAACTGTGGCCATTAGGATGAGCCCTAATCCAAAATGATGGATGTCCTCATAAGAAGAGGGAATGTGGGCACAGAAAGAGGCACCAGGGATGCATGTGTACAGGAAAGGCCACACAAGGACACAGCAAGCCAAGGAGAGAGGCCTCAGGAGAAACCAACCCTGCCAACACCGTGACCGTGGACTTCCAGCCTCCCGGACGGTGAGAAAGTGTATGTCTGTGGTTAGGGCTCTCGGTCTGCGGGATTTTGTTACGGCGGCCCCAGGAAACTAATCCACCTCGCCTCTTCTTTTGGGACAACGCTTTGATGGTGGGAAAACTTCAGCCATATTAATTGTGTTTTGTTTTCTCTGCTGTAGAATAAAAGAGAATGAGCCACCTGGTGTCTGACACACACACACCCCCTCCCTCGGGGGCACCTGCTGGACCAAAGCCACTGGGAGACGACTGCTCTTCTTAGCTCTTGTGAGAGTCAAGATTCTCTGCGGAGATTGTGCGGTGGGTCCTGGAGGGGAAGAGAGGTGGGAGGGCCTGAAGTAATAGAGGCAGATTCTCAGAGATGAAGGGGTGTTGGCCATCTGAGGGCGCCACCAAGGGGGACCCAAGCCTCATTTCCTTGGCCATTGGACAACTGGCATGGCTGACCAGCCTAATTGCTCATGCATCAGAGCACTGCACTTCAAGGCATCCAGCACGGGCATTGCAGATCTCCAGTATGGACCCACGGCTGCAGGCAGGGGCCGCTAGGAATCTTCCTCTGCTTACAGGCCTTAGAACTCTGCGGCTTCTGGAGGACGTGGGGTGCAGCAGCACCAATACAAGCCGAGATTGGATCTCCCGCCAGCCCAGGGAGTCGGAGGGCCCACGTTTGAGCTGAACTTAGAGCCAAGAAGAAAGCAAAGCAATATTTTTATACACATAAATTTGTGCATTAACATTCAAACTGACTACCCTTTATTTTCAGAATTGAGATCCAGAAAAGCAAAACCAAAGCCAATTCAAGGCAAAGCTAAAAACACTTCTGTCAGCAGGAGAGACAATGAGCCAGCGAGAAGGAGGAGCCAGCGGCCAGTGGTTTTCTTCTGGCTCTGCCGCTGTCTTCTGGCTCTGCTTTGTCTCCTGACTAGACCTAATTATGCTTGTCATGCGCATCAGAAGGATGGGGCTAAGATTAACAAGTTAATGTGGGTAAAAGCTCTCTAGCTCCAGAGATGAAAGGAGATCTAATTAGCAAGGCCGGCAAGGCCCGCAGGCGCTGGCCAGCGTGGACTCCGCCCCTGTGCTCACCAGAGAGCTAATTATAGCTTCTGGGAGGGGCTTCCCCAGGGTCCACCCCAGTCTTGGCCTGGAGAGGAGGCTCTTCTTGCACGTTTTCCTCCAGCCCTAGGGTGCTGTGACTCCGCGTTGGAGGAAACAACGCGCGCACCTCTCTCAAGTGATGGAGAGAAGGAATGGGTGCAGGTCTCTCCCCATTTTAATCAACGCAGGCTGACCCGCAGGAATGGGGGGGCGGGTGAAGGTGACCCTGTGAGGTCAGCAGAGTGCAGAGGTCAACTGAGTTCCAGGACGGCAGGAGAAGGCCAGAGGCTAGAATCCTGACTCTGCCATTGCCTAGATCTGAGGACTTAGCAAAACCCTCCACACCCTGGAGGTTCTGGCACTTCTTCTGCCCAAATAGGGACAACACTTCCTACCTCAGAGTTGTGGGGCTTAGATTGGTTCAGGCTGCACCCGAATAAGCACATGTTTTTATTAACAGTAATCAATAATAGCTGCTTGAAATGGCTGGAGTGACCTCTTTCACTCACCGAGTCCGCAGTGAGTTACCTGTTATGGGCTGGGGACCTGGGCGTCGCAGCCCCTGTGTCCAGCGATGAGCCACAGCGACGGCTCTGCCCTCCTGTGCAGAGCTGAGGGCAGGTTGGATGAGGAACTCCGTAACCTCTCAGACCTTCCCTCCATGTCTTGCTTCTCCTCTTAATAGGCATTACTGAAGAATTTTTTTTTAATTAAAAAAATCCTAAAACCTGCTCACAGGTATGTTTGCCTGAAAGCACAGACAGTTGATTCTACTCTAAGAATTAAGACGATTAGTTCAGAATACCCCAAATGAGCCAAGAATTTTAAAGCGTAAATGCTGGAGTGAGTCTTTGACCTGTCCCGTCCGGCCCCACGTGTCTTGTCCAGAGTTGCTGTGGTAGCTCTTATGTAGCTGGCCACCTGGCCTGAGTGGAAATGGGGGATGAAATTGGCCTGTTTGAGGCTGTGAGAAAGACCAGTTAGTTCCTACCGGCCCTCTCCTCCTGGGCACTCACCGAGCACACCGCCCCTGAGCGCGGTTTGTGTAAATATTTAGCTAACAGCTGTCCCCCACTGGACGGTGACTGGCAGGAGGGCGGGGTCCCTGACCGTGGGTTCCAGGTGGAACCTCCCTGGCCGGGTGCCCTCTCCGCCTGGCCTCCTGGCAGGCAGCGTCCCCTGAAGTCGTCCTCAAAGCCACTCCACGAGGCGATGCTCTCACCAAGCCCTTTGTGCACACACGGAATATGAGGCGTAGTGGGCGCCTCCGCTTCAGGCGCACAGTCGGGCTCCAGAGTCCTCACCCCCCACCCCCCACGCTGACAGGCATCTCATGACATCTGTAGGACAGAATGGGTGGTGGGAGGGTTGGTAGACAGATGGGGGCTTCGGTGCAGCAGGGCCCACATTCTAGGTCCGTGGGCTTCAGATCTGAGTTCCAGGTCTGCCCCAAGAACAAAACCTGGTGTAGGCTGGTCCCGCCACAGATTAGCTGACGACCCTGGGCAACTCACCTCGTGTTCCAGAGCCTCAGTTTCCTCTTCTGCAAAATAGAGATTTAAAGAAACAAGCTGACAAATCAAGGCCTTGATGAGATACCACTTCACACCCTTTGGGATAGCTGCTGTTAAAAAAAAAGAAGAAGAACAAGAACAAGTACTGGCAAGGATGTGAGAAACTGGAACTCTCGTGCACTGTCAATGGGAATATAAAACGACGCAGCCACTATGGAAAATAGTTTGGCAGGTCCTCAAAAAATTAAAAATAGAATTACCATGTGATCCAGCAATTCCACTTCCAAGTCTATACCCAAAAGAATTGAAAGCAGAGTCTCAAAAAGGTATCCGTACATCTTTGTTCATAGCAGAATTATTTACAGCAGCCAAAAGGTGGAAGCAACCAAGCATCATTCAAAGATGAATGGAGAAATAAAATGTGGTAGAGGCATATCGTGGAACATTACTCAGCCGTAAAAAGGAAAGAAATTCTGACACCTGCTACAACATGGATGAAGCTTGAGGACATTATGCTAAGTGAAATAAGGCAGTCACGAAAAACCAAATACTGCATGGTTGCACTTTAATGAGGTGCCGAGCGTCGTCACATTCACAGAGGCAGAAAGTGGAAGGGTGGTTGCCAAGAGCTGGGGGAGGAGAGAGTGGGAGGTGGCTGTTTGATGGGTGCAGAGGTTCAATTTTGCAAGATAAAAGGAGTTCTGGATACACAGCAACGTGAATGTACTTAACACTACTGAGTGTACACTTAAAAACCCTCAAGATGGGAAATTTTATGTAATGTGTATCTTGCCACAATTTAAAAAATAAAGAAAGAGAAAACCAATAAATGAACCCACTTGGCAGCAGTGTTATAAGGGTGAACCAAGAGAAAGTGTGGCACACAAACTGTATTGAGCCATGGGGTTAAGGGCCCCAGTACCTAGGCTGCCCCTCGACTCTGCATTTTAAAAGAGGGTCTCTGTACCTTGAGCCCTAAAGGGGTCGTGAGCATGGCAAGGCTCTCATCCAGTGTGGCGGGCCACACAGAGAGGGTTACTGTTGGTGGTAGTTTGTCTTTTTTTAAGCAGGGAGGACTTTGGGTGCAATTGCCAACTTCAAAGCAGACGCCTCTCACCACCCACAGCCCACAGCCTGGCGAGCGTTTGGCACCGGCCTCCGGGCAGGGTCGGGCAAGAACAGGGCTGACGGGTGAGGTCCCATCTTTACGTCTCTGCCAGACACTGGTGCCAGTTTGCTACCAGCTGCTGGCATCTTTCAGTTCTGCCAATAAAAGGTCCAGGAATGCTCACCAGGCCGACAAAGCCAGGCCTCCATCCTGGTGAGCGCCTGGCACAGCCATCTGCTCTCTCTGCACCGTCTGCAGAGCAGAAGCAAGAGCTTCCATTTACGGAGCCCAAGCGCTTTGCATATAATATCTCATTTAATCTTCACAACACTCTAATAGAGTGAGTGTCAATCTATCCACTTTTTAGGTACAAAAACTGAAGTGCAGAGAGGTAAAGTGACTTGCCCAAACTAGTGAGTGAAAGAAACTGGACTTGAATGTAGGTCTGTGCATAGGTGCTACCCATCTCCTTATGCAACATGGGGACTGAATGAATGGACGGATGAAAACTGGAGGGGCTGTTATTTCCAAACGCCTTTCACCTGAGGATCTCAAAGCACTTTTCAAGAACTCAACAGCAACTTGACCATCCAGTCTGCAGGCACCACAGAGTGCTGGATCCAGAGTCAGGCCATGGTTATCCCTGTCCTTAGGGAGCTTGGAGCCAACGTGGGAAGCAAACATGGTAACTAGTAATAGCTGACATTCACTGATGTCGCTGAGCCGGCTTTCATGGGGTTCTTTTATTTAATCCATACAGAAAAATAGCCTGTGCAAGAGGGACTATGATTACAACTCCATTTTTCAGACGAGGAGACTGAGGCTGAAATGAGAAGAAAAACTTACCTACGGTACTATAAGTCAGTGCCACTCAGTGTCGTCCTTGGACCTAACGGCTTGTCAGCAGCTGGCTACAAAATGAGTACAGAAATAGAGGATAATTGTTTTGTAGTAACTTGATAGACCAATTTTACGTTAGTTGAATAAAGTTCTTTTTAAAAGTTGGTCTTGTATTTCGTATGTTCATTTCTTTTTATTTCATCTCATTTTTTAAAAGTAACTCACTTTATTTTTCAGAAGTATTGATCTGCACGGATTGGGGGAAAAACAAGCGCTCCTGGGCCACAGGTGATTTGAGAAGCAGTGAAACAGTGATAGCAGACCTCGGACTGCACCTGGGTATCTGACTCCATTCGGATCTGCATCTGGATGTCACCTCCTCAGAGAAGAGGCTGTCTCCAGCCCTCTGTTTAAGGCCCAGTGTCCCTTCACTCTCTTCTGTGCTGTCCAGCATGGTAGCCACTGCCCACCGTGCCTCCTGAGCACCCGAAACGTGGTTAGTGCCCGAGGTGTGAAACACACACTGGATTAAAAGACTGAGTTTGAAAAAAAGAATGGGAAATATCTCATTTATAATGTTTACATTTACTGTATGCTGAAATAATATTTTGGATATACTATATTAGGTTAAATAAAATATATCATCAACGTGAATTTCATCTGTCTCTTCACTCTTTTACATGTGGCTCCTAGGAAATCCGGTGTGGCTTTCATTACATCTCTATTGGACAGGGCTGTCCCCGCCCCGACATGGCCTGATTTCCTTCACAGGCACCATCTCTGCCAGACATTGCCTGATGTATTTATGTTCCGTTTGTTGAGCATCAGCGTCTCCCACTGGAAGGTGAGCTCCTGTTCACCACTCACCTCCAGTGCCCGGAACAGTGCCTGGCACAAACTGCATACTGCAGAGCTGTGGTGCGATGAGTGAACACAGGAGTGAACGACACCTGACAGACGACAGCGTCCCTCAGGCCCCTTTCAAATTCAGCGCTGTATCATTTTGCATGTTTGACAATTTGCTTTCAAATACGTTTTTGTAAAAAGTGGGAGGCGTGTGTGCATATTAATCAATGCCGTCTAGGTAGTTAGATAATATTCAAAGTGCCCTACTTAGAAACCCACACTCTAAAGGAGACTGACTAAGCTTTTCGAATATAGCAATGTACACTAGGAGTTTGCTGATTCGCGTTAGGAATGAATCCCTGCTGGAGAAAGAGCAGTGTTCCAGGCAGCTCAGCTCGGGAGACTGTACAGCTCAACATGCGTGCAGAGCGAGCGAGCAGAACCAGCACATTTGGCAGCATCGTACCCTGGCGGCCCTCGGGGACTGCGTGTCCTTTTACACTTGGCTGTCTACACAGTGGGTAGATCCAGGGACGTCTACCTGGGAGGGAATCTTTCATGCAGGTGCTTATGGGATTCCTGCCTCCTACCCCTTACATTTAGGAGACTTCATTATGGGTTTTGTTCCTAAATTGCTAATAAATACAAATCTGGCAGAATTTGGCCTAAGATCTGCTTTCACAATAGCATACTCCCACGAAGTAAGGTGAGGGGGACCGGTTGCAGGCCCCAAGGACCACCCCATCTCCCTCCCATCGGGGCAGGCTGCCGCTAATTATGAAAAGAAACAGACAGTCGTTATACCGGCAGACCGGCTCAGACCAGTTGCGAGAGGCTGTAACAGTTTTCGTCCCAGATGCTGCCGCTTGGTTTAGGCTTCGTCTTCGAGCCCTCCCTCCGAGGAGCAGAACCCCGGCCCCAGCTCAGACGAGGCCTGTCTGCATGTTGGCTGCAGTGCTTCTGGTCTCTTCCACGCCAGTTGCAACAAGCTGCTGCCAGGGTGGCGGGCAGCACCCCTGCAGCTTCAGGGCCCAGGGTGAGCTGCTCGATCGGAACCAAAATTGTAGAGGCCGCTGACATCCTCCAGGCCAGGCCTCTGGAATCAGCCTTGGCCTTTATTCCCCCTTTGGCCAGCAGAGAAACTGGGGGTAGGCCCGACCGCAGGTGCCCAGCCCAGGGCCCCCCACCCTTGGCCCTCTCAGGGTATCGCAGGCAGGCCGTGAATCCACACACACACCAAGCATTGTCCAGGGCCTGAAAAAATAATGTTCTGCACTGTATACGCCATATCACGTATGGTTACAGGTGAATAAAATTCATTTTGATTGCATTACTGACTTCATCAAAACCATCTGTCAATATCCCAATCAATAGATCTTAAAGGAACAGATGCTATCCTGCAGGTCCCCACACGAAAGGCTGGGTGCTGCTGAGCCAATGAGAAACTTTTGAGCTGGAAGACAGTGCTAAGAGCAGCAAGATCAGTGGTTTTCAAATTATGGGGGGGCAGCATCTTTTTTTTTTTTTTTTCAAAACTGAAATCCGATTTTTAAAAGAGGACAATACAAATCCTGGAATCCTCCCTGCAGGGGCCGGCTCGGCCCGGATCCACCCTGGCAGGTCTGAGCTGAGAGGCCTGGCACTGGTGCTCCACACATGCCTGCAGAGCCTTTACCCCTCAACCTGGGGCCCACTCCTCTCCTCTGGAGGAGCCATCCCTTCCTTCTGTCATTGACAGACATTTGTGAGCGCCTCCTCTGTGCTGGGGGTCGGGGGATGGTAGGCCCTCAGGGAGACAGAGCGGTGCACAAGCCGGTGAGATTCAGACTGGCCGCGGCGGTGGCCATGTGGTGCTCTGCACGTCTGTTCATCGGACCCACTGCCACCTGCTCATCCTTTCAGCCGCCTCCCCTCCTACCTCCTGGATCCCTTCTTACAATGTTTCCCTCACCTCTTTGCTGACGAGCCCCAAATGGGCCGTGAACCTTTCGCTTCCATCGCTGCTACGTGAAAGCTGAGGCTTTTCCCCTCACAGCCTGCTGAAGCCACACAACCAGGACACGGGACAGGTGTGTGTCTTGCTTCCCAAGACCGCTTCCAAACCATCTTACTTCCTTCTCCTTCAGCACCCATTCCTTGGAAGTTTATTTCATGAGACTTTGCCCTCCCTTCCTGGTTTGCAGCCCTCTCCTGTCCACCTGCCTCACCTCTTCCACTAAGGACTTTAGCATCCACTCATTTCCTTCAATTGCCACCATCCTCGCTTACTGCAAAATTCAGATGGCTTCTCCAGCCAATACCTCGGCTGCTTGTTCTCCAACCAGCTCACACCAATACCCTTTCCTCCAACCTGCCTAGCTCTCCTCTTCCTCGGTCACGTCCTTTCACGTTGTACCCCTCAAACATCCCCGTCTCTGTGCTTCCAGCTCACTGTCTCTGCTCCTCCTGCCCAGTAAGTTTGCCGCCTCACAGAGCCCTTCCACGGTTGGGATCCCTGCCACTTTCTCACCAGCCACCTCACTCCCATCACCCTTCCTTCTTACCATTGCTCCCCTGACAACTCCCTCGGACAACCCCACTGGCCAAGCTCCAGCTTTCCTACCCTCACGTCTGCACCGAGCAGTGGCACGTTCTTGCAGAATCCACTGATGACAATCACAGGACTCCTGTGTTTGTAAACACAAATCTTAAGGGAGTACCCTCCGCCGACTGGCAAACTCTTCTCCGGTGTCTTCACTTCTCGCTCTCTCCAAAACTCCTGTGCGTCTCTTCTCCTCGCTCCTCAAACTTCCTGCATTGCTTCTTGCCTTGCTGTTAGCTGCTGGTCAAGACTTGTGGCGCCGTGAAAAAGAGAAACAGTTGCATAGAAACTGCCACATCCTCTCTCTGACAAAACTTCCAGCTTGACCCAGCCTGTGCCCACATCCTGCGCCTTTCCTCCTGTTTCTACAGAGGGTACATCCCTGTTCCCATGCCAGGTCGGCCCCTCCCTCACCTCGTGCCCAGCTGGAATGCCCTCTTGCCTTCTCGTGGACGGCCTTTCTGTAACCATCTCCTCTTTCCTGCATCAATTTCTTCCTTCCTACTGGCTCACTCCACTTGCCCTCCCTGCCCCTCCAGTGGAGGGTCAAGAATCAAGGTTCTCAACAACAAAACCAAAAGTAAACAAACTTTTCTTAGCCCCACATTCCCCTCCAGCTATTGGTCTAAAGCTCTACTCTCCTTTACTGCAAAACATCTTCGAATCGATTCTAGCTGCCACCCGCCCTGCCCTCCCGCACGTTCTCTTCTCCACCCGCTCCCTCTGAGCTTCTCTTTCCCACTCTGTTGAGACGGCTCTTGACAAAGTAGCCGTGAGTCCAGATGACCAAACCCAATGGTCCCTTTGCTGTTCTCACTAGAACTTTGCAACAGCAGTGTGCACAGTTGACCCAACCTTCTTTCCTGAAAGACTTTTGTTCTTTTCGTTTCTGTGACACCAACCTTCCTGGTTTTACCTCCATCCCGCTGGCAGCTCCTTCTTTATTTCCTTGGCCGGTTTCCTCCTCTTGGACTTTAAATATTGGAGCTCTTTTCCATATTCATTCTCCTCCTTGGTCATCTAGTTCAATCCCACAGCTCAAATACCAGTTGAAGTCTGTGTTCCCCGAATCTGTACCTCCAGCTCTAACCTCTCGGCAGATGTCTAGACTCATATATCCCACTGTCTCCTGGACATCTCCATGTGGATAACAAACAGACCTTTCAAATCTAGGGTGACCGAAGCCTGCCACCCTGAACTCCGCCCGGCTTCCCAGTCTTGGCAAATGACACCCCCCTCCCCACTCAAACCAGAAACCTAAAACCTAAAACTGTTGCTCAAACCAAAAACCTAGGCGTTACCTTGGTTCCTCCCCCCCGCATCCCCATCAGCAAATGCTCTTCACTTTCTCCCCTAAAATCTTTCCGCTATCCATCCACTTCTTGCCCCCTCTACTATTTCTATCCCCAACCAAGTCCACAGCAACTGTCTCCTCAAGCACTGCACAAAGGCCCCTAGTTACGCTTTCTGCCTCCTCTCTTGTCCCCTTCCCGAAAATCCACTCTCCACACTCCTCCCAGGATTATCTTTTGGAAAAGTACCGTCCTCCCATGCGACTTCGAATAAAACCCATACTTCTCGTCCCAGCTTCCAGAGCCCTCCCCGACCTGGTCGCTGCCAAACCTCCCCCTTGCTCATGCTGCACCACTTGGTGCCCTTCTCTGTGCTCTGGCCTCAGAAGGCTGTCTCCGTCCTGTGGTCCTAGCTATAGCCCAGTCTGCCCAGAATGTTCTTCCTCTAGAGCTCTGCATGCATGATCCTTCTCAAGTCTCAGCTGAAGTGCACCGTCCTCAGAGAGGCCTTTCCTTGTCATCCACCGTAAAGAATCACCCCGCGCCATCACCACCACACACGGCGTTTGCTATCACACTGGCTCATTATATTTTCCTCATAGCTGGTGAAGAAAAAATACCACTTGGCATTTCATATTTATTTGTTTGCTTATTCAGTGTCTGTCCACCCTCCTCCCCAAACACACTCTAGACTACGCCTTTTCCTGTCGCTAGCCTAGAAGAGCACCTGGCACTCAAATACATGCTCGTTGAATAAATGAGTTACGAACTATGAGTGCCACATTCCAAAGTCCAGAATCTGCCCTGTAGCTAGGTGCCCTGTGAGAGGAAGCAAGAGCAACCCAGAGCAAGGTTTTCACAGGAAGTATAAAGAGGCCTTTCAAATAATTAGAGCTAAGAATGGATTGGGCTCTTCCAGAAAGGGGTAAAGTTTCAAGGAACTATTATTTAGTACCTATTGCAAAAGATTGTCTCGTCCTCGCAACAACCCTGCATGGTACATATTATTATGTACCCCCATTTACTTATGGAGGAACAGATTCAGAGAGGTTAAGTAACTGGCCCAGGGTCACACAGGAGGAAGCAGGATCGGAATCAAGGATGTTTAATCCCATAGCCCATGCTTTTGACACCATACTAAGCTTACTTTACCTCCTCCTCAAGCCTCAGGGTCCTCCACTGTAAACTTACTGCAATGACATGCTTCAGACGTTGTGGTGAAGATTGCGGCAGATTAGGAGGTTAGAAGAGCTCAGCCAGGGCCTGGCGGAGGGAGCACTCATACCTACTCGTTACCATCAGTATCGGTGTCTTCCAATATTATGCAATCAGTGCATGGGAGAGCTGAGACGTGAGACCAGGCCTGTCTAACTCCAAGGCCTATGATTATCCGGTGGATTTGAGTGGGAACTAGTCAGATCTGCCGTGGAAGGAAAGATGCGCAAGGACAGACAATCCTCATAGTCCCTGCCAACTCCGAGAGGCTGTATTTTCTGCCTCTATCTTCACAGGTCAACAGCAAATAGTGGGCTGGAGTGGGAAGGCATTCGGCTGTCTCCCTCCGCTTCTCAGCGGCTCCGGCCGCGTGGGAGGTGGGAGCACTGGGCAAGTGGCTTCGTAGGATGCTCCTTAGTGAGACCAGCCGGGTGTGGATGCCGCTCCTACACCGTCCCAGGTGAGCAGGCCAGTTCCTTTATCTCCTGAGGCCTCAGTTCTTTTATCTGTAGAGTGAGGATGATAATAGGACTTGCCCTCATGCATGGCGAGGATGAAAGGGTTATGACACGCAGAAT